CTACGCACAAATTCCTTAATATATTTATATATATTTCTAAATACCACCCCAGATTGAGCACCTAGTTCATCCTAATGCAATGGATTAACGCAAGCTGTCAGTTTTATCTTACAACTACTGGCAGCATACTTTGATATGAGCAAAAAGTTATTTTAAAACATTGTATTAAGTTGAACATTTTTAAAGAAATATTGATTTTAGAAGCAAAAACAAGAAAAAAATGACAGTGGTTTAGTGATAATCGTGATTGCCTCTCACTCCAAAGGGCGTCGGTTCAATCCTAGTCGGCGCTGACGGGATTTTCTGAGGCATAGTTGGTCCCCGGTCCATGAGTTGATGGGTCGATATGTAGGGTCCAGGTGTGGGAACTGCTTTTCTGGCGTCGGTAGCATTGGTACTCAATACGAGATCGACGAAAAACAAATCAACGAAAAAAAGTATAAGGGTCTGTGTCTAGGGGCACGAACGGAAGCTTGATGTAGGACCGCTAGTGGAAATAACAAATGTGAACATTTAGTTCTTTTAATTGATCAATCATCAATTATCTTAACTCTTTCCGTTTTTTATTTGTAAGCGTATCAAATTTGTAGTATTTATTTCAAAGAGAAAGTTGATGAAGAGAATCCAAGGAACTGTCAACTTGAGTATTTTCGATTCATCTACCTGACTTTAAAAGGTGTATTTTGATTTTTTTGTTACTTATGAATTTTTAAGTTTTGTGCATTTTGGTATTAAAGAGTATTCAATTAACCCCTCACAGGATTTCCTTCCGAATTATATGTAAAAAAGAAGGGACTTCGAGAGATTGAACTCGTGAGAGCTAATTTTCTCACAAATTAGATTTTATTGGCTTTCTGGGCATTGAATATACACCCAAAGCGAATTATTCGCACTTCTCTCAAATTCTATATGGATTTTTACCACTGCCTACCAGCGTGTTCTGGAAAATGGCCGGACGATGATTAATCTCACCAATACATTCGGGCCTACAATTCCACACCTTCTATAGAGACCAAGTTGAGCCTTGATAGCTAGCTACTTGCGGGAACTGATTACCTTGACAAAAACATCTCAAAAGAGTGAAAATTGCTCAAATTATGCGACAAGTGAATTTTAACCTACGAGTATCTCGAAAATAACAACTTTGAGCAATTTAAGCATTATGAGCTTTTTTGTTGTAAATTTAATGTGTTTTAATATTAACACTATTTTAAAGATATTTGATAACTGTAGGTGGTATTTTGAAAAAAAAAACTTATTTTTTCAATAATTCATAACTTTTTTGTTTATGATTTGCCCAGCAAATGCACAGTATCAGTAGGTATTACTTTAAGTACAAAATAAATATTAAAAAAAAAAAATGATTTAAAAAAATATGCAATTTGAGTAATTTTAATTTTTTTTTTTGATAATTTTGATTTTTTTTTTGTTGTGAAAAAATATAATTTTTTACAGTGTATATATTTTCTTGGAAGGCACAATACTTGTCCGCAACTTCTTCGAAGACACAATCTCAATCAAACAAATTGTTCGCAAGATATATGTTTTTCTATTGATGCGTATCATTTTTGCATAAGCCCTTTTCAAGTGTTAGTCGTGTGCAAAACTAAGGAACCAAATATGTAAAATGGCATGTTCTACAATAACAAACAACTGTGCAAAGTTTCAACATAATCGTAGAAGGTCGATCGAAAAATTAAAAAAAAAAAAATCGTCATTTGAAATGGAACTGCTGAGCAGTAGAATCCTATCCCATATCTCAACTATCCTAACCAAGACGATGTTCTAGACGTATTCCAGCTGGACAAGCTGGCCAAACCGGAGGATCCTCTTAAGAACGCGATCGAGTTTCTCCACCCGCTGAACACCGAGTACGGCAATGACATCATTGAAACGCATCTGATGGCATTAGAAATCTACAATGGCTGGAGCGGGCTCACGCTATCGATGCCAACCACCTGAACGGGACAACACGGATGTACGGTGTTTCAGTGGTGAGCAGGTAGATGCATCTACACAAAGTGCTTTCAAATGCGATTCCCGATGCAATTGTGTTCGTTGATGGTGCTACTCTTACCCCCCCCCCCCCCCCTCCGTCGTCGTCGGCGGCGTAACAGGTAAAACCGAAACACAACACGGAGTATTAGTAGAGGGCACCGTTTCATCCGTTCCTTTTTGGGACGGAGCACACAATATAAAATATACAATTTAATTTATGAATGATCCCATCTATGCTTGATTGAAAGGATAATACCGATACGAATGATGTGCCCAAATGTATTTTTGGCACATTGTGCGGAGTGACCACCCCTTGGACTACAGTTTAAAGAGACGTTAATAGACGTATCCACCCCTTGGACTGTATATAATAGACGATCTTGATGCAAAGAAACAGTTAATCGTTGGCTTGAAATGCAATAATATGCAAATAATATTTATTACGTTAAGGTGGCATGGAAATAATACAATTGATTTTTCCAGCTCCTTTATCGGTAAGCCTGCAGCTCACCATTAATTGATTGATTGATTTATCTTTACTTATCGCCTCCTACGCTCACCGTAATCAATCAGGAGTGAAGATAACTAAAAGTCGGAAAAGAAATCAGAATTTCAGAATATTTTTTATTAACTACTTTATTTGTACAGGCTCATTCGAATAAACTTTACAGACCCAAATAACCATTTCCGTTATACACTATTAATGTCTTAAATCTAATGATAAAGGAATTCAACCGTATACTCGCGGTCTTCTCGGGGTTAGTGGAATACAATTTTATGGATGTGGAGAGGGAGAAGGAGATTTGAAGTATGATTTATGATATAAAAATTTCACTATTTCTGAAACATATACTTAGCGGCACCGGTGGTGTAGTGGTAAGCGTGATTACCTCTCACCCAACAGGCCTGGGTACATTATAGAAATAAAATATAAACTACACCCAAAACGTGACTACAAAAATCCCAAAAGCTATTCTCACAAATGTATCGCACGCAACCATTCTTCATGATACACTATTTTCTACCTATCTTTCTATTAGGCCTATGGACATGCGTTAGCTTCAAAACTTCTAATCATAGTGAGAAATCAATCAGAACACAAAAAAAAAACAAAACTAAAAACTTTAAACGTTTTAAAGGTAGTTACAAGTAAAATCAAATGAAAGCTAATAAATGAAAAAAATAAATAAAGGGAAGTAAGGCCGTTGGTCCCCGGTTTATGAGTTGATGGGTCGATAGGTAGGGTCCAGGTGTGGGAGCTTGCCTCCCTGGCATTGGTAGCATTGTTGCTCAGCACGGAAAACAAGATCGATGGAAAACAAATTTTACGCGAAAATAATATATTTCATTTCATTTTCATTTTCATTTTCAAGCACAGAAGGGGTTATAGGGCCAGGTCTCCAGTGAAAAATCACTGTTCATACAGCACAAGGGTAGAGGTAAAGATTTGGCACCATAGAATAATAATCACAGGGATCAAGTGAATCCTGCTTAAGATGCCGGATAGGGAAGATTAGTGTTTCAAGTAGGGGATAGTCGAAGTAACAGTAGTGATAGTTGTAGTAAAAGTTGGAAAGTAAACGTACAGAGGACCATGTTTTGCAATACCTTCTTAATCATGATCTTTTTGAAATGTTTGAGAATCAGTGTCAGTCAGTGCCATTGTCTTTACGTTTGTCAGTTGCCATTGTCATTATAGGTGTTGTCTTAACGTATATGTTCGTGTCAATGACAGTATTGAAAGTATCCGTGGAAGTAGTTTTCACTGTGTGTCTTTATGTGTGTTTTCACCAAATGATTATATTTTTTCTCATCTCCTAGTTTTAACTGCGTACAAGAATAATTAACTAAAAACAAACAAAATGTAGCAAAAGTTCATACTATAACGTGTCTAACTTACTATCTACTTTTGTTGACTAATACCTAAATGTAATTTTTAATTTTTAGATTTGTGGAACCTCTTAACGGAATTCCTTTATGAAGCGCTTTGAGTGTGTAATTTTTAATTTTATGACGATAAGTTGCTCAAAATAGCAGCCTGTAATTCCGTACCAGAATCCACCTCCAATTCAATGTCTTTTGTGGATTCGTAGAAGCAAAGTTGAACTAAAAGCTAAATAGTTACCTACAAATTCTACCTAAATCGTTCACAACCAGAGCCGGATCACTGATGAAAACCAAACTACAACCCTGAAACACGTATCGAAATTTTCGAAGGCGAACCTATTCTTGCTACTGATTCTGTCCAATTGTTAGGTATCAAAATTATAGTCATCCGTAAATTTATTATTGAATATATGGATGAATTATCTATTATTGAATAACTATTATTTACGATAATTACATGAAAGAAATAAAATATAAACAACAAACAAAGCGTGACTACTAAAACCTCAAAAAGATATTCTCACAAATGTAGTTCACGCAACCAGGCCTGCTACCGCTCACTCGCCACCTTGTACATGGACATGAGGCGAGACGAGACGCGAAAAGTTAACCGGAACAATATTGTATGGAGATTGGAACATTTTTTCAAAATATATCAAAACAAACAAAACAAAAATTTGCCCAATTTTTTATTTCAGAAATGAACCTTATTTCGCTAAAATTTACATTTTTCGATTCAATAAATATTCACTAGAGCCATCTCTAGCGGAACTTATTAAAATGGAACTGATAAGTTGACCACTTGTCTGCACCGACTGATAGTCAGGATATAGGATTCAGAACAGCTACCGGAGGAGTGGCCGCACGGGGCCATTTTGCACCAGGGGTGCATTATGGACTGTTCTCCCCTACCTAGGCACTTTCGTTTTTGTTTTTATTCCATCTTTTCAAACAACTCCGCTTGTAGACACTACTACCACCCTATTTCGCACTGTGACGAGTGTATTTCGGCAGTTATTATACAACCGACGACAATCCACAAGTAGATGTATGTATTACGATACTTACTCATGGCTGCAGTTGAAGTTAGAATGCTGTCATGGTGTTCATAATATTATCAGCTGTCATTGATACAGATGTTATTTTGTTAAACGCAATAGTCTTGAATCGATAATCACAACATTTGGACCACATAGCGTAACTCGCATTCTAAAGATATTGTTCGTAAAAACATAATTTCTAGTCACGTAACAGTTTTCAGCTAGGATAGTCAAACAAACATTGTAAGTAGAATGGAGCGATACCTCATCGATGATTTTGGGCCGAAATATAGTGATTTGCCAATGGAAGTAAGTATAAACTTTTCATAAGTGATCTTGTGACCTGTTAGCAACGTTTATTTTTATGTTAGTTGTGCTAAATACTTATGATACTACACAGAGAAAAATATTGCTTGTATAGGTAGTAGCCTGTAAGCGGATTTCACAGACGCTATACATTTATCTTATCAAATAAAAAAAGATCTAGACATCGTTTCTATAATCATTTGTACACAGAAACGTTCACAACCGCAATCCGTGCTAAAATTTTGAATCGTCTTTGTTTCATTGCAGATCTTGGTAAAGATATTTCGTTATCTGAATCCTGGAGACAGATTTGCTGTTGGTCTAACATGCAAACGCTGGTTGGAAGCGACACAGTATCAACTCTTTATCGACGATGTTTGTCTCAAATTCTACAAAACGCACTTCAGTGATACTACGAGCCCAGTCTGCAATTTGCTGAAAAGTTGCCGCCACTTCCAGAATGTTTTCTTCTCACAAGTGGAATTCAACGAAACCGAACAATTCTTCGCTCGCTTTGGTACTCATATTCACGAGATGAATTTCAAAGCATGTGACATACGGGAAAAAACTTTTATTTGTATGTTAATCATGGTTCCAAACCTCCGAACGCTAAAAGTTGAAGGTTGTCGAGAACTGTTAATGTCGGGCAGGTTATTCGAATATGGTCCGGACCAGCAAATATTAGCAAACACTTTGCAAAACGTCACAACCCTCAGTTTAGCATTCAACCGATACTTATCTGATGCTCTGTTTAAACGAATAGTATCACTCATGCCAAACCTGGAGGATCTTGACCTCACCGGTTGTTCTATTTCATTCCACAAAGGCCTTTACCGAAAATTCTATCCAGGACGGCCAGATGATGCGTCCGAAAACGTTCTGACTTTTCACTACATTGCACAATTTATCGAGCGTCAAGCAGACAAATTAAAAAAAATTAATTTCAGCTCAACGCTTATCGACGGCGATGCTCTTGAGATATTGGCTGGTTTCGATGCTCTTCATCTGCAAGCACTTGATTTGAATTCATGTGATCAACTCACAAACCCTGGCATAACGGCATTAGCTCAAGCAAAATATACCTTGCAACATTTGGACTTTTCCAAATCGGTGCGTTTCACGGATGCATGTTTACATAAAATCTGCCAATATTTGCCGAATCTTATATCACTTAAACTACGGCGTTGTCGAGCTTTGACAGATCTTGGCATTACCGAAATAGTTCAATTGAAAAAACTACATGTTTTGGACATTTCTGAGTGTGAATCTGTAACAGGACAAGGAATTATTAAAGGAATTGCTTCAAAGCCAAATCCTACGTTGCTTGAACTTTATGTGAGTGCACTTAATTTGTGTGAACGTTCAGTGATACAAATTGCTCAAAGCTTTCCTTCGCTACGATTGCTTGATCTTAGCTATTGCTTTAACTCGGTATCGGATCTTTGCCTACAGATAATTTTCAAGAATTTAATCTGGTTGAGGCATCTGAACTTGGACTGTTGTGATAAGGTAAGTTATAGAATTACTCGATATTTGGACATGAAATGATAGCGAGCGATCAACTATATTTTCAGATCTCAGATAGTGCAATGACCGGTGTTGGAATGTTTCAAAGAGTTCGGGATTTTGAAACTGATAATACCACAGTACCAAATCCTGTAGTATCTAGTGGACCTCTTGAAGATGAAATTGAATCTGGACCGTCTAAGTCGAATCGAATACCAACGAATAATGCACCAGAAGAGCCTGTCAAAATTTCACTACGTAGCAAAGCAGAACAAGAAATCGTTGATGATGCTCTACGTAAGATGGCTATGATGGAAATATGCCAACAGAAAGAATTTCATAAGGATGATGCCAGCACTGGTTATTCGATCGATCGTCTAAAAGGACTACGAGTTCTACGACTTTCTCAGTGCAATAAACTTTCGGATATTTCTCTGATGTACGCCTTCAAATTGAAGGAGTTGAAAGAGATCAGTTTGGCCAAATGTCAACAAATTTCTGTTCTGGGTATAAAGCCATTTGTACAAAACTGTCCATCGCTTGAAGTAGTCGACCTTAGTGAATGCCATAACGTTAACGATAAAGCAATTGAAATGATAGCAACTCACCTGAAGCGTTTGCAGATTTTATCACTTGAGCGATGCTTCCAACTATCTGATTTCAGGTAAAAATAGCAATATAATTTTATGCCAAAATAAATTTTAATATTTATTCATTACAGCTTAGACTACATCGCAATCCATTGCAAAGCATTACGGACGCTGGACGTTCGAGGCTGCCGGAATATGTGTGCTGAACCAAATCTACGACTAGTCAACGTGCCCACGCTACGGACAGTTCATATGAGCAAACCCGGGCCGTATGTTGGTGAGCCAGGCTATTTCGTCAAAAAGCCACTCCCACCACCGATGCCAAAGCGTTTCTAATATTTACTGTTACTCGATGCTGGTGGATTGTTTATTGTTGTTTTTATATTGATTATTTATTTTTTATTATATTAATTTTCAATTGTTATCTTTTATCTATATCTATCTACCCAGAATACAGACATCCGTTGGAAACCAAAAAAAAAAAAAAAAAAAAATAAAAATGACAATAGACTTTGTGTTGTGCTTATCTTTTTCGAGAAACTTTACATAGTTGTAAATATAATTAAATTTATAAATCAGGTTGACCACAATTTCTAGCATTGTCGAAAATTGCACCAAGAAGCACAGTTTCTAATATGATCAAAAACAGATATGTTATTTCCGTTTAGGCAAAGAAGCAATATCGCTCAGAGGAAGTCTTTCGCTACTTCTTGTAGTCGGGAAGGGGAATGTCATTTTTTTCACCATGGAGCACAGAGAACAGACGTCAAACCTTATTCAGAAAGTTGTGTAAACTTTTGTAAAGATATTTTTTCCTTTGGTTTGTTTTCCGTACTGAGCACCAATGCTACCGACTCCAGGGAGGCAGCTCCTACACCTGGACCCTACTTATCGACCCATCAACTCATAAACCGGGGACCAACGGCTTTACTTCCCTTCCGAAGGAAGGCGTGATCAGAGATGCTGTGCCTCAGAACATCCCGGCGGCGCCTTAGCCTAAGGCTAAACATCTCTTAAACAAGAGCAGCACTGGTTATTCGATCGATCGTCTTAAAAGAACTACGAGTTATACGACTTTCTCAGTGCAATAAACTTTTAGATATTTCTCTGATGTACGCCTTCAAATTGAAGGAGTTGAAAGAGATTAGTTTGTGTTAGAATTAGGGCGTAACAGCTTTTGTAAACAATGACTTCTCTCGATAATTTATCGGAACTCAAGGCACGCCCACGCAAACCAACATAACCATCGGGAAGGGGAAGACTCCCCCATCCTGATGGCGTTGTTGATTTGAGTGGGCGAGCAAATCATCGAGAGAAGTCATTTTTTACAAAAACTGTTACGCCCTAATGCGTGGAGGCGAACCAGCCCAAGGCTGAAAGCCTCCCTAATAAAGATAAATAATAATAATAATTACGCCCTAATTCAAGCTCTATCTAGCATTGTCTACAAACCATGAAAACCATAAAAAAAAAACAAATACAATCAAAGTTCTTCTATACAAAACTCCATTTTTTATTCTTCTATACGAAACTCCATTTTTTATTTTATTTTTTTTATATTTTTTTCTGAAAAGTATTTTTAATAACCTTTATTTTGATATTTTGATCATTCAAATAGGCCCAGTGGTTCAAAAGTTATCATTTAAAAAAAAAATGTCATTCTTGAAAAAAAGATCGAATTTTTGGACCACCCTAACATGGTAATGGTCTCCCTAATGAGAAAATAAAAAAATACGGGTCTAATATTTTTCGATAAGGAACAAAATTACCAATTGTTACGAAATTCTGAGAACCACTATATCGTTTTGCTATGAAATGACTGTATGTAAGTTAAGATCGAACCCTCCTGGATCCCCAACACTACACTTACCAACATCAATCGCTTCGTCAACACATCATCATTGCCTTCATCGCCATCGACGATCATAGCAACAACAACAACAACAACGCCGATGACGACGACGGCACATCAGTTAGCCCGGCAGCCGGAACGTTCAACCCCAAGCAACCAAATCTCGAACATCAGCAGTTTACTACCCAGCAACACCAAGTAGCACGGATGCACACACGGTTATTCTCACGTCAGCAGACTCTCACCCAGTAACCATCGATGTCACCGACCAGGACCACGCGACGGAAGCAACCTCAGCAGTTCGTTGCCTTTGCATTAGCAACTTGGCGACCGCATTCCTATAAGTTCTTACTCAGCAGATAGATAGGGCTTTCGATAGGTTTCACCTTATAATAATTTGGAATAAAAATCAGTTAGTCTTTATCCTCGAGTGGTGTAACATTGTCTTGTTTTGTTTTTTTAAACTTGGACCGCGTGACAAAATCCCTTACTTGTATATACACACTTAGACAAAATCATGTAAATTTATGTGCTCCGAGAGTGACATATACGAGCGTCAATTTTGTTATAAATTTGATTCATAACAGACGCGAAATATAGCTTAATCAAACGTACTTTTCGTCGAGCAATTAAACAAACATGTCATTACAATCACATTCCCCTACCCTCCCCCCCCCCCCCCCCTTCCCTAAAAGAAGGCAAATATCGAATGGGATTTTCTTTCCGTCCTACTTAAACTAAATAATATTACCTCGTTTATTAGCAAACAGATTATATGTGTATTTTTATTAGGCGCACAAACAATTTCAAGACGATTTTATACCTGATTCGTTAGCAAGTGAATGTTCCACGGTTCAACAATAAATCTATGGAAATAAATGGTAGAACTCTATTCAAATTACGATGAAGATAAATGTAATTCTTTATGCAGCAATTTCTTTAAAATAAACTCAAATTCTACAAAAAGAAATATGCATTCTTTGCTACAGTGTGCCGGTAGTCAGGTACAACATTTAATTGTTTTTTTAAACGTGTATTGTTTCTAACAAACTGAATTATTTTTTTAATAATCTAAATAAACTGGATACTGTGGTAAACATTCACTATTCAGTTTGTTGCTAGTTTATAATTTATATCCAAGATTTACAGATTTCGTCCTTCTAAAAAGGTTGGAATAACATATGTATATTTTTTTTCTATTGCATGCTATGCAAATTTGATACGTCACTTTTATTCAAAAAACCATCGTTTCTCCCAACCGCAAAACATACATTCCACCGCGAAACTATGCCAAATTTGATTCGTATCTATAGGCATTCTGCAAGCAATAACCTTCTGCAGCCAAAGTACTGTGTATGACTTCTTTTAGAGTTTTTAGAAAACTAGTTTTATTATGTTCAACAGGCACTAAATCCTGCCCAATCCACCAGTGGTATATTAGCTATGGAAACAAAACAAAATATTCAGACAGAGTGAACTCTTTCAAATATCCCAACGTGAATATGTATCACCTTTGGGCCGTGGAGGCTGCAGCAAGACTGCTGCTTGTATCTAGCTCTCTTTATATTTTGAAAATATTAGTTTGATCAAATAAACGGTTGGTTGATCGTTTACCCTGGACAAAATTTCGTAACAAAATAACAAAAGATGTTGAGATTTTTAACCTAAGTTAAGGTCGACTGTCCATCGTTACTGTCATCAAAGTTCAACAATTCGTTCAGGTCAATATAATCGCAAGCATTGTTAGTTCCCGAACCAAGCTTATAGGTCATTAGCTGATTCGATGACTCAGTCGATGGGGTTGGTGACAGATGACCTGTAAATGAGATTGATATGTATTGAAACAACTACGCAAAGTTATTCATTAGCCATTAGAAGTGCATGTTCAATCGTGTAATAATCGTATAAAAGTTATTTTTCTCAAATCCATACTTTTTATAACAGGATTAATTTTGCCCTAATGGGAAATATTTGAGAACTACTACTCATAAAACTAGCATCACGTGAGCTGAAACGTTGTAATGGATACCTAATTCTGCGCTGTTTTTAAAAGTTACAAAAACATTACTGTAATCACATTTTTATGTGTGCCCTTTACACTGAAAATACAATACAAAAAAGGAACTAGCATTCCTTTTTGCCATATATGTACCAATAATGACACTAGTGCTCTCCTGATTGGCTCTTAAACCTCAAAATTTGTACAAAACTCAAAATTTATTCCACAAAAATTAGTTCCAATGATTAACTGTATATTTGAGTTGCAAAATTTGAATGAACTAATTTTGAGCATGGACTGTTGTATGGCTTGTATGGACGATTAGGGGAGCACTAGTGCCATAATTGATACACTTGCCCTAGAGTAGAATTCAAAAACGCTGTTTATAATGATAATTTTAAACAACTAACCCCAGACAAACAGACATAACATAGCATACCGTCACTAAAAAACTTTCGCTAAAATGGGCAGTATACTCAACAGATGGCGATAGTGTTTACCGGCACGATTGACGGAATCCTTTTGACGTAGATTACGTCTTACGGGATGTTACAGGGGGTAAATCGAAAATCTAAAGCTGTGTGCGTCACCAAAAGGTGTTAGCACAGACAAACAGACATAACACATTGAATATTTCTCACTGTAAAACATCGTCGCATCGTCGGTGTAAACGTCAAACGCAAAGGCATTGACTATGCGCGCCGCAGGTTGCGGTACTATCAACTAAGATACTTTTAAATTGACCGTTAAATGGGTGTGATGAACAACTTGCGAATGTTATGTCTGCTTGTCTGTGGTGTTAGGTTTTAAACGCATATAACTTTGTAATTTATAGATGAAATTAAAATCCAAATACACCAATCGACAGGAAATAACTCTACAAATCTACTGAAATAAACATTTTCTTACGTTGATACGAACTGGAAGCAGGGTGCATCCATTCAATTTGGCTAAACAAATGTTTCATGAAATTATGGAAGAATAAGATAATATGATAATATTTTGTTTGTGTAAGCAACCAGATTTACATGTGAAATTTGTGTTTGACTGCCAATTTTGTTACATGAGAGTCGATTTTGTCATGTATCTCACCAACTCTTCGCTATTCACTCTTCACGAATAGGCGATCAGAAAATCGCTTATTGTGACTTTTGCAAAGCTAAATTTGCAGGTTTTATGTGTCAAACACATACTTTACAATCTTTACTTGTTACTTACACATACAAAATATCATCATAATATCTTATTATTCCATAACTTCAGAAAACATGTTTTAGCCAAAATGAATGGAAGGCACCCTCCTGACTGGAAGTTCTTGCTCCCATGACACATAGCATGTTCCGGAGCATAATTATCTGCTACCGGAAAACATACAATAACAAAACCGCTTCCTCATGCCTGAAATAGTAGTAGTGTGCGAGTTTTACTCCGAGCAGAGTGGAGACGACTTCTTCGGACAGCAGAGGACAACAAGTCCTTAGCCTGATTGGTAAGGTAAGTAAGCGAGTTTTACTCCTTAAAAAATTCGAAGTCAGGCTTGCAATTGCTCATTACAGCTAAAATGCTAGTTTTCGTAATTATGAAACTATGGGATACTATAATAATAATTTTTATTTGTAAGAAGCAAGAAGAGGTGGTAAAATTTGTGTATGGCGTATAAAATTTGTCAATTTTGCTTTCAGAAGGTCACAATTAGCGATTTTATGATCGCTGATTGCTCGCTCATTGCGTTGCTCATCGTTACAGCTAATCGCTATTGTGACCCTCTGAAAGGTAAATTGACAAGTTTTATGTGTCATACCCACACTTTACCTTCTCTTCTTGCATCTTGTTAGTAAGAATTATCATTAAAACATCTCATAGCTTCATAAAATAGCATTTTAGCTGTAATGAGCATTTGCAAGCTTGGTTATTGCAAGTTAGCAATTCTACCGATGATTCTTAACAAAGTTGCATTTTTTGCACAGTAAAGTGATGGTACTTGGCAATCTCTTCTAATGTATAACTTTTTATTTTAATCTTTATTAAGGAGATTTTTAGCCACTAGCTAGTGCATCTCCAAACTAATTTTTGGAAAAAAAAAAATAGGAAATGGAAAATGCTAATGGGACTGTTATGTGCCTTTGAAAACGCGCAGCGGAAGGATTCCGTCAATCTTGTGCTTAAACGTCAAGGAAACTGACTATACGCGCCACAGTTGGCGATGATACCAACTCAGACAATTTCATGTTGACCGTTAAATGTTTGTTCGATTAACAACCGCGTGCTTAAACTTTCTAAAAACTATCTATCAAATAAACTGCTCAATATATGGTCTGAAAATATTCCAATAAATTCGTCATTTCTTTTTTGGAAAATAATTAGGGTATTTTACGGTACTTTAACTGACATTTTTACATTTTTCTAGAGAATTTATCAATTTTGATATTAGTGAAGCACAAGAGCAAAATACGTGATAGTTTTCCATTTAATTCCACTTATTTAGTAATTTGTATCCATGACATATACGGATGTCGACTACAAAGTGCGCATGCAATTCATTACTGTCATTCTTACTAAAGGCCTATTGTTTAGAGATGAACTAGCCTAAGGCTAAAAATCTCTTAAATAAAGAAAAAAAAAAAAAAAAAAACTAAAGGCCTATTGAAATCTATCTCTCTTAAGATATAAGTAGTTAAATACTCAACGGAAGACTCAAATGGGAAACGATTTTGGGCATAGGTTTGAAAAGCTTATGAGTAGTAGTTGCTGTCTTCATCACGTAGCTTATTATACAAATTACTCTAATTATGTTGGCTTTTTTTATAAGTAATAATTTTCCTTATGCATAACATACATACGCGTACACATACATACTGTATATCACAAGGGCTTTGACACACGAACACAATCTCAATCATATAGAGCAAGCCTGAGCAGAGATTGCATACTGAACGTTTTGATTTACAACGTGTTTTCCAGCAGAACCACTGTAGTTAAAATGAGTACAACTGTACTGATAGATACCTGATACTTTATTCAGCAGCCATAACATCTGCGGATTCCCCACTCAGATAGATAACACACATCATGATCATCATCAGAGTTTCCCAGCTAATATTGTATAACAACCAAATAACAATAAGAACCATTATCAACCAAATTTTTTCAACGTGGTAACAGACATTCCTGCGAAGAAAAGTCATAATTTATTGATTTGAACGCACATAAAAACAAAACTGCCCAAAAGAAGACTCGACATTCGTCAACGAGGAATAGGATGATTGAAAGCACTACGTGCATTGTTTTACTCAAGACGATTGATATAACCCAACAAACGATTTTAGCTTCAGAACAACTTATTCATGCATAAATTGGATTGTACTATAAGCTGTTTCGCAGCTATAATTGTTTGTTGGAAAGCAGTGCAGTGCTGCTTTCTATTGAATCTGTTAACATATTGCGTATCGCATAAAAGTAAGATTTTCAGCTAATGTAATTTTATCATGTTTCGAGTAGTTTTGTTTTTACGTATGTATGTTGTTAAAAATAATGGCGAAGACGGTGGTTACTTAATAGAGACAATAGAATTCACTGGAGTCGCTTCTTACGCGGCTTTTCTACGTGTATTCTGGAATTTTTACTTTACGTTTATTTCGGAATTTATGCGTTTTTTACACGTTTTTCGGAATTCACGATGGTGTTTTTATTCGCTTGGATTTGATCAGAATTGTGCTTTAAACATTTCTCCAAGTTTTTTTTACGCGTCTTTCTCACACGGATTTCAAAATTTACACGTCACGTATCTTCCGCGAAAAAAGTGACTCCAGTATGTATTGAATATAAAACTGTCATATTTTTTTTTGTAAAATTAGTCAGTTTTTGCATAAAGAATTGTACCGAGATCAGTATTACACCCGATTCTACTTTTGCACGGTCGTATTTTTTTTTTGCTTCTACTGTCTTAAAATGATACAAAAATTGAATGCAACTAGTTCCAAAAGATCAGAAACCACTCAAAGAAAAATAAGGTACCAACAAAAAGTATAAAATTTCACCACAGAACAAAACAAAAATTTAAAAAATGTAACCGTACAAAAACAAAATAGGTGTGTTATTTTTAGGGGAAATTTTCATATAGCTCACAAAATCTAACACACATTTTATTTTATACTTGCTCAACAATATAATGTATTATTTCCCATTCTTCAATTTGCTAATCTCAATACAATGCGATACACAGAACACATTATCAGATATCTTTTAATACAGATCATTGCTCAAACTAGATTGTTCTTGCTTTTATTTCACAGGATTAACGCTCATGAAACCATATTTTATAGATTTCCATACTCTATTGTGTTCGTACTCAACTTGAAAGGTAAATTTAAAATACACCATACACCAGAATAATGGAAGATTTACTATTTGTACATAAATCGAGTAACTTACCGGTTACATTGTTGGTATCATTACTGTTGGAAACTTGTGTCGTAATAGCCCCATCGACGGCAGCTTTTCGTTGCGACTCAGCCATTTCAGGCAAATTCATTGGTAAATCCATTCCCATAATATCATCATTGGAGTTGAAAAGCTGCAAGTACCATACATTAATTATTACGAACTTCTGTGCCATATTTTCCCGGATCACAAAGATTACTTGCATCAATTGTCGATTTAAATACCAAATTTAGCAACGAATTTAGTTTTGCACTACAATACAATTATTATGAAATTACATTGCAAAAACTACTACCATCAAAATTGCACATGTCTTTTCAATGTATGCCATGCTTTGAAGTTCGGTAGAAACTCGAATAAATGTAAATCTTGAAATGGCTTGCAATTGCTCATTACAGCTAAAATGTTATTATTCGGGATTCTGCAAATATCATATATGTTATAACAATACTTTTTATTTGTAAGATGCAGGAAAACGAGGTAAAGTTTGTGTATGACACATAAAACCTGTCAATTTCGCTTCCAGAGTTCATAATTAACGATTAGCTAACGATGAGCGCTCACTAATCGCGATTGCTCATTGCTAAAATCACAAATTGTGACCCTCTGAAAGAAAAATTGACAGGTTTTATGTATCATACACAAACTTTACTTCCTCTTCGTTTATCTTACATATACAACTTATTATTGCAATGAACCCGTATGTAAAAACGCAATTTCTGCGTTACGTAATATTTGAACAGGGCCTAAGTGTTTCTAACCTTATTGAAAGCATCGGCATCGAAGGAAGTTGGTGTAAAGTAAACTCTGCCGTACTGTGGTCCACTTCCACCTGCCGCCTATATTAATTAGTTTTATGCGAATACACGGGTTTTAAATTGTTGTAGTTTTATTCATTTCATCACCAACGTTGTCAATGTGGCAGCAAAGCAGATCATTTCGTCGTCATCGGTATCATCATCGTCGTCAACGCGGTTTGTTTTTTTTTTAATGTATATTTATTTTTATTGGTTCAGTTCATTTAGTTTAAATTGTGTGTAGAAAGAAGAAAAGATATATAAATTACCATGCTCTAAAACAAACCAACAGAAGAATTTCTATACGATTTAGTAAGTAATTTTGCTTCAAATCCAGCGGTTTGAATATCTATCAACACTAGGTAAATGTTTTACCATATGGTCTTATACGACAAATATCTCTTAAATAATCAAATTGTCTTCTTTTGTTTGAGCGAAAACATATTTATACCTATTAATATGGTTACTGCTTGCCATAACCTGAATTTGAACCAGCTAAAAACCAAACACATTTAATAATAACTTACCCCAAGCAACGTGTTAGCATCGAGCTGATAACCATCGCCTTTAAGGAGATCCTTCAATGAATCCAAGTCTGTCTGGACGGTTTCAAAGTGTTGACCGAAATCAGTCCTTGAAATAATAGAAATCGTTAATATTTTCAGCATGATCCATAAAATGATGCAGACGCACATTGAATTGAGTTTGTTGATATCCGCCCCGCTGCTGACAAATTTAGCCATTGCACCGTTATTTGATGAATCATCTTCCTGTTCGTCCAAATGGGCTACTGGATTTGAAACATTTTGTTGAATATGTTGCTGTTGTTGCTGTAATTGTGGTTGCGGTTGTGGAAGCATTTGTTTTCCCTTTATTTCGTTGATGTTAACGTTCGGGTTGTAAAATCCTCCTTCGAAGTTAAATGCTCCAAGCATTGGAGATTCTTTTTGCACGTGACTATCGTCATCGAATATGTCTGCTGGCATCTCGTCAACATTGAAATCTTCCACTCCATAACCCATAGACAAAGTAGAAGGCTTTACAGTACTAGCAAAGCTATTTGTTCCTGATGGTCCAGCGTTCAAGTTCACAGCAGACTTCACAGGCGCTTGTTTAGCCGAAGAAATAACTTTTTTGCCAGATTTTGTAACATCGTTGCTATTATTTGTCATTGTGGAATGGATCGATTTATTACTAGTGAGCAGGCTTTGCTGATCTTTACTGGCAATTCCATTCTTCTTATTCTTGAGCAAACTTTCTCCCTTATTAACTGCCTTCTGTTGCTGCATTGTCTGTTGTTGCTTCAACTGTTCTTGCTTTTGCATTTCTCTTAAGACCATCGGAGTGTTCAGCATATCGGTGTCATCAAAATATTGCATACTGTTCGAATTGATCTCATCAACGTGATCAACGAGATAAGCTTCATCGTCATATTCTTCTACATTCTCACCGTCGTCAGTTACGTCACTGACTGTCTTGTGAGCACTTTCTGTAATCCCTACTGAGTGATCGAAACTTTCTTGTTTAATATTGGCTGTCCCGAAATGAGAGTTGTAAACGGACATGGGACTGACTGCTTCTTCAATTATTTCGTTACCGTTGCCAGAATGATATGGCGACTGCTGTGTCGCCATAGAAATTGGAGAAGTAACTTCTGGTATTTCAGTTGTGCTGCAATTAGGTAACACAATAATCAAAAACATTATCGACTAATGGGTAAAAAAGTTATAAACAAAGTAGAAGAAATAACAGTGGTGAATATATACATACATATATAGGAGAAATGTATGTAATGTCGGCCTAAGTGTCCCTAATTTGGGCCCATACATATATTCAGCAATCGACTAGATTTTCAATAGCAACCAAAAATATCCATTTGTAACGTCCCAATAACGCGTTCATCTAGATAAAATTGATAAATAGCAGATTTTTAGCGATGGGCCCAATGTTAGATCCATAGGCCAACATTAGCGACATTTCCCCTATATAGGCTTTTCTACACAACATATCAAAATATCAGCAATGTATTTTGCTTCGTTTTTGAGTTACGATTTTTTGAAATTAACATGTTTAGAAATTTCGCTCATTACTCCAATACGACTAGATTACCCTGCGTCTCCATTGGTACATAGCTGACATAGTCACATAATCCATATCAATTTTCTGCTTCTGCTTTTATATGATTGTTTTTCAAAGTGAATACTTCAACAAGTAAATAGCTACCTAGACAGAGCACATGCTAAAATCATACGGAAAACTTGGTAGGTAAGGTGTTCGTTAGTAGGTACAATGAATGGTGGTATAAATATACTAGGATGAACTTAGAAGTGAAATAATCAGCAAGGAAACAAAAGCTCTGTTAATCCAAAGATATTCTGTACAGCCAGTGTTATATAAACGATGAATTTTAAGTGTTCTTGTTGTTGTTTGTGGGTTTCAAATGCGTTAAAGACGAATCTTACCCAAGATCTTCAAGTTCATGAGGTGAAGAAAAAAGATAAAGTAGATGGCAGTTCCTTCATATGCAGAAATTGCTACCTCAAACTATATAAAGCCGCACCCGAAAAGCCCACTGCTGGGCCATCCGGAGTTCCTGCTGTCAACGGTCAAGCTTTTTTTTTTTAATACTTTATTTAAGAGATTTTTAGCCTTAGGCTAGTTCATCTCTAGAACGGTCAAGCTGAATATTGTATTTAAAAAATGTATTTACATTGGTAGCCATGAGTCAAACGAGCATGACGTCAAATTATAGCATTCTGAAAACTTTGTAACGTCGCGTTTACATGTGTAACCTGTGCACGACACAGGTTTGAATAATTTTTAAAAATGCGTTTAGATTTTTATAGATTTTATGATCATATTATGGCTGTTCTTCTTTACTCCAGACCACAAGTGACCTTGAATACACTATTTCATAGTGTGGCTCAATTAAATCTTCGACCTTTGTTTGCTTAAAAAAGGATTAAATTCAGTTCGGATGGTCTGCCTAATCCCTAATGCACTGATTTCTGAGCATGTCGATATCACTATCATGACAAAACTTGTTAAATAGTGCACCTAAAAGCGAGCTTTTTTGGGTGGCGGGTGGCAAGTTTGTGAATGGTCAAATGCCTGTTGTAAGCCAAGCAGATCTTCTATCACGTCTTGAAACATACCAAAAATATTCCACAATACATGGCGGTTTGCACCACTAGTTGTAATTGAAACTTTCAGCAGTCACGCGTCAAACGGGAGCAACACGGAAACAGCAGTCTGGTACGCTTTGAACGTGTATCATACTTACAGATCAGTTTGAATGTGTGAGTTTAAATTAGGAGAACATATGTGATGTATGGGTGCCTAAGGCGTGCATTTCTCGCTGTGCACTTGGATATCTGAGAGCGCCTTGTGATAAAAACGACTTGCGATGACGATTGTCTTATCAAAGCATTGATTCTAGTCCAAATATGGACTAAATATGGAGTACCAAACAGTCTGTGAAAGATGTACTACCCAAATTTAATATAAAAATATTCTATTTGAATTCCTATGCTACTGTAGTAATTATTATTTACACATAACCCAAAAGCAATCAATAAATTTGATTCAAGTTTCCATGAATGTCATGTTAGTCTACGATCAGAAATTGAAATAAGTAAGTAATGTAACCATGTTACATTCGATATGTATCAATGGAGACGCAGGGTAATCTAGTCGTATTGTAGTAATGAGCGAAATGTCTAAACATGATAGCTTGAGCTTGAGCTTGAGCTTGATTGACCGCCCACGGTTGCTACTCTGTTACTGCCAGATCAGCTGTAATTACACAGAGAACCAATAGACGATGCTTGGGACTACCAATAATCCTCAATGTGTAAAAACTGGTGATCTTAAATTAGGCAATACCAGCGCCGGCCGCGCCCGAACACAGGTCAAGAAAGGAATGGGAAGGATTGTGTTGACATGACACTCGCTTTGATGGAAGCCGAGAACACCTCTGCACTTCCACGAGGAATCACTGGGATGCTGGATAAGAGGGTTGGGTTTGCAGCAGGGTTCGTTTTGGTAAACGATAAGCTGAATTGATGTCCTAACGATCATATAACGCGAAGGAGCTTGGGACTAAACGGTCTTCTGCTCAGTAAGCAAAAACGTTTGCCACTAGGCAGACGAGCACCTTTTTAATCACCGAGTTGCTGTTATTACCATGTAGTCATATTAACAAATAAAACGATTGACGAATCTTGAATGTGGATGGGCCTGAGATTAGGCTCATGATGTTCTGCTCAGTAAGCAAAAACGGTTGCTCTAAGGCCACCGAGTCCCTCATATCACATAATACCGTTGCTCAAATTTGTGTATCCATTCAAACCCGGAACCAACGACAACAACGAGTTTCGCAAAATACACGATACACAAGCGATTTTACCATAAATCTCTTTGATATGTAAGGACCTGGGACAACGTTTTTCTGCTCAGTAAGCAGGCCACTGTAACCGACGATCTTTCAAATCCGAAAACTAAAAACTACGAAAAACTACTTAGGCCTTCATTAAGTTCCACTTTCACGCGACGTTCAATGACAGGGTCCTATCCAGGATTACATCTGCAAAATCCAAATCTGGCCAACGCCCACCTAAACCTGTTCTAATCCACCTGAAATGACTAACGATTGGAAGACTTTGACTACCCAGCCATGCAATAGTCTCATTCCGTGCCTTATGGCAACTTGATGATTCTATTGCGTTCATCTTTTGGCACCACCCAGGGGAGACTTGGTCCTGTACCCAATGCTTAACTTATCTCAATTCCACTCAACTACTCGCAATTTCTTGTGATATAGTAGGCGGAATATTATTATATGAGACAATTCAATGCAGACGTCTTTCCAAATTTGGCAGATCGACAGGTAATCGGTGAGTTACCACGATAGTTGCTATTCAACAACTCGACAACGTCCCATCGTCAACGCCTGCTATGATTATTATTATTTATTTATCTTTATTAGGGAGGCTTTCAGCCTTGGGCTGGTTCGCCTCCAACGTCGCCTGCTATGAGAATTTCTCATTGCAGACGCCAACGAAATGACGTCATCGAGTTATCGATCAACTACCCTGGTTATCGCCTGGTACCTTATAGCACGATGCTAGAAGGCGAACCGGAAGAATCGATGAGCTACCTCTCCCCCTGAGCGAAATGTCTAAACATGATAATTTAAAAAAAAATCGTAACTCAAAAAACGAAGAAAAATACATTGCTGATTTTTTTTATATGTTGTGTAGAAAAGCCTAAATTTTCAAAAAAAAAATATATAAAAGCGTGTTACGCCCATGGTCTACAAACCATGAAAACCATAAAAAAAAACAAATACAATCAAAGTTTTTCTATACAAAACTCTAATTTAAAAAAATATATATATATATATATTTTCTGAAAAGTATTTTTAATAACCTTTCATTTGATATTTCGATCATTCAAATTGGTTCAATGGTTCAAAAGTTATGATTTTTAAAAAAATACCATATTTGAAAAAAAAGAAAAAATCGATTTTTTGGACCACCCTAACATGGAAATGGTCACCCTAATGAGAAAATAAAAAAATACGTGTCTAATATTTTTCGATAAGGAACAAAACTACCAATTGTTACGAAATTCTGAGAACCACTATATCGTTTTGCCACAGACAAACAGACATAACACATTGAATATTTCTCACTGTAAATATCGTCGCTAAAACATTATCGCCATCTGTTGAGTACACTGTGGTGGGTAGTACACTGAACAGATGGCGGTAGTGTGTAAACGTCAAACGCAAGGGAATTGACTATGCACGCCACAGGTGGTGGTACTACCAACTACGATACTTTTAAATTGGCCGTTAAATGCTTGTTCGATGAACAACTTGCGAGTGTTATGTCTGTTTGTCTGTGGTTTTGCTATGGAATGGCTGTATAAAAATATCCATTAGTACCGCCCCAATGACGCGTTCATCTAGATAAAATTGATAATTAGCAGATGTTTAGCTATGGGCGCAACCTTAGATCCATAGGCCAACATTAGAGCCATTTCCCCTACCTACATTTTATATGACAAGATATTATATTCATACATTCAAACCATTGCCATTTGGTATTTGAGATAAGACATATATAGGATGCGGGCTTTTCTTTCCATTTATTAAATAATTCAGATAGGCTAGAAATTACAGTAAGTCGAGCAGTGAACGGTAATAACGCTACTTTCATATCTTGTATGTGAGTGGCAATAATAAAAAAACTTATTTTACATAACTATGGCCAATTTAGAGCATCTTGTTTCAAACAGGAGTTCCGCGGTAATAAAGATTAAGATCTTTATATCTGTATTCAGTTCATGGACATTTTGATTTAAATCGATTCTATTGATGTTAAACTAGTTTTACATATGAAGTGCTGTTACTCAACACATATCAAACCAATTTTTCACAATTTAGATATAAGTTAATGTACCAGAACCTGGACGGACACTTGAGCCTACCCAAGAGAGGACCCGAATGGGACCACCCATGTTAGTCTAGAGTACCGCACAAGCTGACGAGCGCAACGGGAATAGGTGCATAGATCTGGGGATTGGTCCCTAGATACGCATAGTTAGCGGAAGGCACGGGATATTCACTGAACAATTATAAATACAATTTTGGTGAATACTATGCATATCACTGCCTTATATTCATAAATAAGAAATTCAATTCAATCAGATAGGGGAAATATTATCCTACCTGATAGTGGGGTTAGTATGCGTGGGATGGCTACCAGTTACGCCAAACCGACGATCAAATGATCAAATAAAAAAAGTAATCGAGATTTAATAATTTTATACACAAATGTAAATGGGGGTTATTCTGAGAGTTAAAGTGACTTTCATCACTAGTCTAGCGAGAAAAGTCACATCGTGGTCACGTGACACTGTGTGGCCAAATGGAAAGTCACGTCACCACGACATGACTTTTCTTACTTCACTAGCGATAACCCAAGTAACAAATCTAGAGCTGCTTGGCTATATTCAAAATTTATAAAGGTTTCATTGCAGCTGCAACCATACTTCATGAGACTTGCATTGTATATGATCGTGAACATTCTTATAACTATCTATAAAACCCCTGTAAAGCTAATGAAAAAACCAACTCATGCTTATGCTATTTTCACTTATGAAAGGTTTTATGATTGCTTTGAAGTATAAAAAAAAAGTAATATGAATTGCCCTTATAAAACCCAAAAATAAATCCTTTTGTTGCTTTATAAGTAAGCGCAATAAAACTAGTTGGCCATGAAACAGTTATTTTATAACAATTATAAGCATTCAGTTGCAACTTGTCAGAAATGTAAATAGGCGGTTTATTTTTACAACATAGAAAAGAATCAAAACTTTCCGGTACTTCCAAGCGAAGCGCAAAGAAAATCCACAAAATTGTTAGCATGAGCATGAAAACATTTCGTGTATACGTATAAGCGACGTAGTGTGCGTAAGAAAAACGTCAGCAATATCTATAATTCTTCCGTACTCGGTCGCATATACATGAGGTGATACTGTCGAATCTTGGTCGAAATACATGGAATGGTGACAGTCCTAAGACAAAAAGGTTGAAATCACGCATAACTTTTCATAAAGGTTAATGTACCATCCAAAACTTTTCCAAATGTTTGTAAAATTCATCGGTTGCACTCGTAGAATAGGAAGTTGACGAACACGGGAAGTTGACGAAGAGAATCGATCAATGTTACTTAGGACCTAATGCAAAGTTTAGCTTGAATTGCTCTTGTAAAAAGAAAATAGTTCTCGTAATAAAATAATGCATTATGCTTTTCTGTTCTGCTTTCATCCTATGCACACTGGGCCAGGAATGCAACCTAGCGGAGCAAAATTAATAACTCCGAAACGAAGCATTTCCGCTACATGGTGTCTTCGGCAAAATATCTCATCATAATAAGGACCATCTATTGACATAAACAAATAGTTCAAAACTCTTCCGTAAAGATGGTGCCACAATCTAACTTCTTTCTCTGACATTTTGGAAACTTGATGTCTTCGGGAAAGTTGTATATCCTGAAAAATAACAGCTCTTTTAAAGACGTTAAATTTCCACAGTCTATTGGTTCCAAGTTCTATGGAGTTAAAGAAAAAAAAATGTATTAAAATGCATTATATAAATAAATTTTGTGAAGAAACATGTTGAAAAAACTAAAAAAAAAACACAATTTTTGAACTTTAATATCTTCCAAAGCGCAAAAAATCGCAACCTGACATTTTCAGCAAAAATTGAGCAATACTCGATAAACAAAATATCAAAATTTGAGAGAGGTATATATTGGCTGGATGTGTCCAAAAAAATGAAGAATCCAGTTTAAACTGGAATGTTGACATCACTGTTCTGTACATCATAATACATGATAAGAAGAAAATCGTGATAATTTGTCCTAAACATTACCATAACCAATTCACTCCATTAAAATAAATTCCGCAATTTTCGCGACATCATTTAATAGAAAATCGTGATAGTTGTTCCTAAAAATTATCATAAACAATTCGCGCCATTACAGCGAATTTTGCAATTTTTGTGATAGCACATCAGTCCCTTCGCGATTTTCGCGACATTATGTTATGTTGTCGTGATTATCGCGAATTTGTAGCGGATTTGAACTCGGCCTGTCTTTCATTAGTCGAGTCTTATAAAATTTTTAAATTTATTTGCCTGATTCGAGACCTGATTGTGCGTTCGGTCACATCCTTTATTAGGCTCTAAACGAACTCCCCATCCACAGTTTCTCTCAAGAGAACTCACACCAGAGTGAAACCGAGTCACAATAGGAATTTAAAAACACCATTAGCTGTGACTCCGGGCCCAGAACCTACCAAAAATGCTCCCGTCTCCTATCTGACTCTGGGTAAACTACGCAGCCCTGTCATTATTTCAGTTGGAATTATTCTTTAAATTCCGATGAAACTTTTCTCAAAATTCCTTTCTGGGATTCCTTTCTTAAAAATCCAAAGGAATTCTGCTAATATCTGCAGAATGTCCTTGGATTATACCCATGAATCAATGAATCAAACCAAAAGACTATTAAGTATATACCATCTCGGATGAATTTGAATGGTTACCTGGTAGAACTCTTCGACTTTTGAGGTTTTTCCATTTTCATAGTACCACTAGTAGTAGATTTTTCTTTTTCCTGCGACCTAAAAGCATATATAACACACAGTAAATTAAACTAAGCTTTACGCGAGCAAAAAGGTCAAGAATTGTTAGCTACTGTAAATTTATATTTTGAACTAGGTATTAATCTTTCTAATGCTGCTGATGCAATTTTATTTTTATTTTATGTTGCCCTCCCTTCAAAACTTACAAAATTCAGTCCTATTTAATAGTGATATTCACTTTAAAAGTGGACAAATTATTTTGTTTAGTTATTATTAATTAAACTAAATATTTTTTTTAGCCTGATGTTTATTTATTGCCTCCCCCTACTTTGACCAATTTGAGTGACGTCATGACATAAAATGAAAATAATATTTGCATCAGTCATAGGTATCTAATATAACGGGAAGCTCGAAAATGGAAAGATAATCTAATTAACTGCATGCATTTTATGTAGTTAGGGCTTATTTCTTCGCCTGGTTTCAGAGTTAAGCGTAGGTGAAGAAATCGTCCCTTAGTGCAATATTGAAAGATTTCAACTCAAGCTGTTACAAAAGATTATTTTTTTTGTTCGAAAATTTACGAAAACATATATTTTTTTCTCATAAGCTTCGAAGCGCATCCATTATTTGACAACTAGATAATAATAATATTAGCAAAATAATAAGTTATAATACTAGCACAAAAGCTTCACACAACACAACAATATTGTAGTTTAGATCTTAAAATGATTTAGAAAAAACAGAGTGTTCGCGCACGGGCAGGACTTTCTCCTACGTTGTGTTATTTTATAAATCAAAAGACGAACGATTGTCAGCCGACCTGCCATGGCTACTTTTATTGATAATGAAAATGGATACAATATACTGAAAAGATACATTTATTGTACTACCAGCGGCACCTGTTTGTGTAGTGTACATCAGTACGGCTGGTAGGGTAGGTACACACTTAGTGGACAGTTGCACAAACACAGAGGCTTCATATTTTTATTAATGAATGCTGGGAAGAAAATTTCAGTTTTCAGGCACAATTTTCTACTTATGGGGTGAAACGGTTAGTAGACTGATGCAAAATTTGAAATTTTTGCTCCACAGTGTTCTGGGTCCTTATTAGCCTTCCAAAATTTGAACTCATTTGATTAGAAACTAACTTGGCCCAAACCATTTGTAGTTTATATGGAAATTGAAGGGCAATCCCTGCTGTCAAAAATAGTGATTTTAGTGACCATGTTGAAGAAACAAGTGACCAAATAGTGACTAAAAGTGACCTAAGGGAAAAATAGTAGCCCTTATGATGACACACCAAATTTTTTTTTTATGTTCAGACTTATTCAATTAGTATCTCATAAAACTTATATACGATATGAACCTTTAAAGCGAAAGATTCAACAGAAAGTTTATGGCTAAACCTACGGTATTAGTCAGGGTGTCTACTAACTGCAAAAACCTGGAAAACCGGGAATCCTCAGTAAATTTTATTTTTTTCTAAAAATACCTGAAAGTTGCAGAGAATTTAATAATTTTCTTTCAAAGGATATTTTAAAAGTTAGTTCAGTTAGTTTAGTTCATCTCCAAAGTAGCAAGAATAACTTCTTTACTCTCCTTGATAAATTCAAGTACGAATGGATTGCAGAATCGAATACTTTGAGGCATAGGATTGAACCATAAAATATCCTTTCGATTGCAGAATTACTCGGCTGTTGGAATCTCGGCGAAAAAAAATAAGTGTGTACATATAGTCCATTTCTTTATATCCATCCTATATGCAATATGCAAAAGGCATTCAAAAAATCGTATCCAAGCATGAAGTGGAGATATGCCGTAATGCAATGCCTCTTCGTTTGATGTAAATCCTTCCTTTTTTTTAAGGCTTTATTAAAGAGATTTTTAGCCTTAGGCTAGTTCATCTCTAGTAAATCCTTCCTTAAATTTATCTATGTCATTCATATATTTGGAGTTGCTCCACATATTGGAAAATTCAGCATCGACGAATTTCCAGTAATATAAGTTAGGACTTTTCCGTCTATCATACTAAGGACAAAATCGAAATCAACAAGTATGGAACTTGTCGTTCGAAAGTTCAACTTTCACTGGCGTTAATTCACTCATTTCATTTTCTACATCTTGTTTAGTAGCAAGATTTTCCCACCTTCCCACTCCTACCTTGCTAAAGAGCCTGAATTTATAAAGAGACGACATCTTATCCATCTCTAGTAAATCCTTCCTTAAATTTATCTATGTCATTCATATATTTGGAGTTGCTCCACATATTGGAAAATTCAGCATCGACGAATTTCCAGTAATATAAGTTAGGACTTTTCCGTCTATCATACTAAGGACAAAATCGAAATCAACAAGTATGGAACTTGTCGTTCGAAAGTTCAACTTTCACTGGCGTTAATTCACTCATTTCATTTTCTACATCTTGTTTAGTAGCAAGATTTTCCCACCTTCCCACTCCTACCTTGCTAAAGAGCCTGAATTTATAAAGAGACGACATCTTATCCATTTGACAAGTCTTCTGCTCGATTGGAATGACTTTTCCTATGACTTTGACAGACAATCGATTGTTCCAATTTTGACATGTCGCCTCTTAATTTTTGCTATTCCAAATGCATTGTTTGTCACTGATTTCTACACCCCCTCCTTCCTTAGTTAGTGACATAATTAATGCATCACCCCTAGTAAGATGAATTCTAACAGATTTAATTGTATGTGTTGATTTTAATTTTGATTTTTACAAAATTACAATTGGTAAGTAAAATGGCCATGTTGGCACTCTTCAAGGAATAACCTTAATACATATTCCATTGTTTTGTGTTAAACCTGCTCAGTTTTTTTTTTTTTTTTTTTTTTTTCTTTATTATAGAGATTTTTAGCCATAGGCTAGTTCATCTCTTAAACCTGCTCAGTGATATAATCTTATAAAGGAACATAGTGAAAACATTAATGTTCAATCGGCGAAAAATATTAAGCTAGGAAGCTAACAATTTCTTATGAGTGTGAAATTACTATTGAATTGAAACATAAACATATAACATCACTACACAAGTAAAAAACATCTGTGAAATAAATGCATATCTAAAAAATACTTACAATAATTCCTGTTCATTTTCATACGCCACTTCCTCTAGGGCTTCACCTAGTTCCTGGATAGTAGCACCTTCATTTCCTTCGGTTTTCTTGAGCTTTACAAAATAAAATTCAGTTCAGCCGCAAACGCAAATTGTAATAAAAACGTTTACCTTTGATTGAGGTGCATCGTTGATCATCAATTGGAAGCGACGCTTGTTGCTCCCGTTTCCCATTGATCCAAGCCCACTGCGAGATGGCTGTACGATCGTAACTAGGAATTGGATTAGCTAAAAATTGATAAAACAAAAACAATTTTGTTGTGTGTTTTGTGTGTTGAAGTTTTTATAATTTGGTACCTTGTTTACAATCTGCTGTTGTTTCAAGTGCTTTTGTCGTAGTATTGCAATTTCTCTCCACAGAGCCTCATTTTCTTGCTTCATTGAAGAGAAGCGTGAATCTAAGGTTTCCTGCCGGCCACGCATTTGCTTCATCTCGGTCAAAACTCGATTCATCGCTTCTACCTTGAGGCCACCTTTGTCATCCGGTTGCTGCTTGGAGGTCGCAATTTTCCGTTTTATGTGTTCCAATAGATAGGGATGATCTTTTTGAAAACAAGGATGTGTAAACTCCATTTCGTCTTTATCGAATCGCAGACCACCGTTGTCGATTGAGGTGATTTTGTGGAAACCATCTGAATAAGGTTTATTTAATGAATATATATGCACTGCAGTATAAACTATGGACGATCTTACACATGTTCAATTGCCTTATGAAACTTGCCATGTTATTATGCTTATAGTTGAGTGGTAACAGCTCTTTTGCAAACTGCGCCTGATTCTGTATGATGAAGCTTCTTCCATCCTAGAGTAAAATATTTTCGAATATTATAATTTTATATCGAATTTAAACGCCAGAATTTAAAATACGTAAAATCATTATTTTATTGTCACTCACAACACCACAACATTGAGAAATGAACTAGCACACGTAGCTTATTTCAAAACTGGTTAGCTTGTTCCATTCTCATCAAAATGGAGTTGCATGTAATCTGAGGGAAACTTCTGAATCTCTATGAAAACAATATGTGATTGTTAAAATATGCAACGGCAAATACATGAATTCGACATTCCACTGCCGTTGCATTTTTTAACAATCACATATTGTTTGCATAGAGATTGCCACTGCATTATTTTAAAGCAATTGATATTCAATTTTCTCATCTGCTGCAGCAGCGCTCATTTGATAAATCATAATAAACAAAACAAAATACTATCAGTCGTCATTCAAGATCTTGTCTTTATATTGAGATTCAAAAATTTTTCAAACAGTGCGAGCAATAAAATCCATATACCTAATTATTCCAATGCTCAAACATTAAATTTTGGTTTCGATAACCCTAGGTACCACATCTAGAGATCTATTTTTATTCACTCAAAAACATGTCGGCCATTTTTCATTGGCCATCAACACAAATCCTTACCGAACTCCAAGAGATTAAATCGTTCGTTTCTGGATCTTCTACAAGTCGCCAGAGCTTTGCAAGGAAAGCCGGAACACCAGTGCCTGTTTCGGTAAATGTATGCATCACAATTTCTCGTGTTTTCCTATAGAAAAATAATGAAAATTCACTGCAATTGCTTCTGATTTTTTCGTTTCACACACACGGGCGATGACGAAGAAAAACAAAACTGACTGACTGATACACGGTCGATCAACCTTCCGCAGTGAGTAAGTAAATTTATGTATAGGATTGGACTTGTATGCAAGAGAAGGCCACTTTTTCTTTATTTTTTATATAGATGTCGCAACAGTACACAAAGTGATGCCACATGTACAGATTTATTTCGGAGATTTATCTGTAATCAGACACAGAACAAAAAAGTTGTTGAATATTACATCCAAACTGCTGCAACCAGGTCAATCCATCGGTTGTGTAATATGTAGCTCTAATCGAGATTTGGAGCGTTATTTGGTGTCAAATAAAAATTTCCTCAAACAACATGTCAAACCCCATTTTTTCAGGCTGGCGGGTATGACAATCTTTAAATCGATTAATCTCCGTTAATATGGCTCTAATCGAGATTTGGAACGTTTTAAGGGGTCAAAAAAAAAATTTCCCAAAAAAACATGTCACAACCTATTTTTTCAGGCTGGCGGGTATGAAAATCTTTAAATCGATTTATCTCCGTTAATATAGCTCTAATCGAGATTTGGAACGTTTTAAGAAGTAAAAAAAAATTTCCTCAAAAAACATGTCTTTTGGTAAAAAATCACTCTGTTTTATTGGTTTATGTATTCTGAAATTCTGGTGTGAAAATTTATTCCTATGGTGTGAAAATTTATTCTGGTGTGAAAATTTATTCCTATGGTGTGGTTAATTTATTTTTCCCAGTTCTCTCATCGAATTCCCGGGCTTTGTTCCGGTTTTCCCGGTTACTTTTCAAATTTACGTATTCCTGGTTTTTCCTGTTCGCTGGCCACCCTGACATGTGTACGGCTGACGAGATGTAGAGGAAGAATTCGGAAGACCACTGACTGGGAACGTATAAACCTGTTTCCCTTTTTTCAAACTGCATCGTAAGTTGATAATGAGTAAAACTGAATTACTGTCTAGTTCGTTTCGTTTTCAGTGATAAAAATTCAACTCAATTTTAACAAAATTAAGTCAATTTTGAGTTGATCTCATCTTTTGTATGCTAACGAAGAGCTTTCCACGATAAAGCTTGTTGTAAGGATTGAGCTTGTGTGCAAGAAAAGAGCGCATTGCACACTTAATTTTTAAAAATTGAGTCAACTCCAACTCAATTTTGAGTCGCTCTCATCGTTTGTATGTTAACGAAGAGCTTTTCACTATAAAGCTTGTTGTAAGGATTGAGCTTGTATGCAAGAAAAGAGCGCATTGCACACTTAATTTTAAAAATTGAGTCAACTCCAACTCAATTTTGAGTCGCTCTCATCATTTGTACGTTAACGAAGAGCTTTCCACGATAAAGCTTGTTGTAAGGATTGAGCTTGTATGCTAGAAAAGAGCGCTTTGATTTGTTTTTAATAAAGATGACACACCGGTGCAATGGTGCTTTACGTCCACTGAAACTAATTCACATTATTGTGTGTGGCAGGATAATTTCTCAATAAGCGATTATTCCATCTGTTTTCTGTTTATGGCCGTACGACTGCGCCAATTGATTTAACACACGGCGGCTCTTTATCCAGGATTCGCCATAAAATACTATCAAAGTTACACACCTGTGTATAATCCTTATGGGCGGGGTTGCATCGCGCTTATGAGCGGCACGCTTCAACCGTAACCAAATGAGAATTTAACAAAAGCGCGACAATATTAAGTTATTCAAAGCGTATGAAATTGAATGAATCCGATGTATGTTTTTGTTTCCGTGCAGACTATATCATAATCATTATCCTGCTAAAACGTCCGAAAGTGACCACCTCAATCCAAATACGTCTTAAGTAACATCCATCGCTACAAGTCCTCGCTGTCCGTGGATAAAACCAGCAATATGCAAATGCACATAGTCAGATGACAAGCTTAACTTAACTTTACTTTTCTTTTCTTAACAAATGAAACTTTTTCCTACCTAGTAGGGAAGTTCTTTTGATTGGGCCTATGTTCAAAGCAAACAAACCAGAAAATGAATTTTAATTTTTCCGCCACTTATCATATATAATATTTACGAAAATTGGTGACAATAAGGGGATCAGAATGCGTTTAGTATGCATTTGTGGGGTTCAACCGAAGTAAAAAAAAATGGATTTTTGGCGATTTTTGTAGCCTCAAAATGGCACCCTTAACGAGTTCAGAACCACTTGTAACCATTGTAGGATGGTGCATTGTCTTGTCCCGTGGGTGTGGAGAATGACAATAACGGGATCAGAATGCGTTTAGTATGTATTTTTGGGGTGAAAAAAAAAAATGGATTTGTGGGGTTCAACCGAAGTGAAAAAAATGGATTTTTGGCGATTTTTGTAGCCTCAAAATGGCACCCTTAACGAGTTCAGAACCACTTCTAACCATTCTAGGATGGTGCAATGGAATGTCCCCTAGATGTGGAGAATGACAATAACGGGATCAGAATGCGTTTAGTATGTATTTTTGGGGTGAAAAAAAAATGGATTTGTAGGGTTCAACCGAAGTGAAAAAAATGGATTTTTGGCGATTTTTGTAGCCTCAAAATGGCACCCTTAACGAGTTCAGAACCACTTGTAACCATTGTAGGATGGTGCATTGTCTTGTCCCGTGGGTGTGGAGAATGACAATAACGGGATCAGAATGCGTTTAGTATGTATTTTTGGGGTGAAAAAAAATGGATTTGTGGGGTTCAACCGAAGTGAAAAAAATGGATTTTTGGCGATTTTTGTAGCCTCAAAATGGCACCCTTAACGAGTTCAGAACCACTTCTAACCATTCTAGGATGGTGCAATGGAATGTCCCCTAGATGTGGAGAATGACAATAACGGGATCAGAATGCGTTTAGTATGTATTTTTGGGGTGAAAAAAAAATGGATTTGTGGGGTTCAACCGAAGTGAAAAAAATGGATTTTTGGCGATTTTTGTAGCCTCAAAATGGCACCCTTAACGAGTTCAGAACCACTTCTAACCATTCTAGGATGGTGCAATGGAATGTCCCCTAGATGTGGAGAATGACAATAACGGGATCAGAATGCGTTTAGTATGTATTTTTGGGGTGAAAAAAAAATGGATTTGTAGGGTTCAACCGAAGTGAAAAAAATGGATTTTTGGCGATTTTTGTAGCCTCAAAATGGCACCCTTAACGAGTTCAGAACCACTTGTAACCATTGTAGGATGGTGCATTGTCTTGTCCCGTGGGTGTGGAGAATGACAATAACGGGATCAGAATGCGTTTAGTATGTATTTTTGGGGTGAAAAAAAATGGATTTGTGGGGTTCAACCGAAGTGAAAAAAATGGATTTTTGGCGATTTTTGTAGCCTCAAAATGGCACCCTTAACGAGTTCAGAACCACTTCTAACCATTCTAGGATGGTGCAATGGAATGTCCCCTAGATGTGGAGAATGACAATAACGGGATCAGAATGCGTTTAGTATGTATTTTTGGGGTGAAAAAAAAATGGATTTGTGGGGTTCAACCGAAGTGAAAAAAATGGATTTTTGGCGATTTTTGTAGCCTCAAAATGGCACCCTTAACGAGTTCAGAACCACTTCTAACCATTCTAGGATGGTGCAATGGAATGTCCCCTAGATGTGGAGAATGACAATAACGGGATCAGAATGCGTTTAGTATGTATTTTTGGGGTGAAAAAAAAATGGATTTGTAGGGTTCAACCGAAGTGAAAAAAATGGATTTTTGGCGATTTTTGTAGCCTCAAAATGGCACCCTTAACGAGTTCAGAACCACTTGTAACCATTGTAGGATGGTGCATTGTCTTGTCCCGTGGGTGTGGAGAATGACAATAACGGGATCAGAATGCGTTTAGTATGTATTTTTGGGGTGAAAAAAAAATGGATTTGTGGGGTTCAACCGAAGTGAAAAAAATGGATTTTTGGCGATTTTTGTAGCCTCAAAATGGCACCCTTAACGAGTTCAGAACCACTTCTAACCATTCTAGGATGGTGCAATGGAATGTCCCCTAGATGTGGAGAATGACAATAACGGGATCAGAATGCGTTTAGTATGTATTTTTGGGGTGAAAAAAAAATGGATTTGTGGGGTTCAACCGAAGTGAAAAAAATGGATTTTTGGCGATTTTTGTAGCCTCAAAATGGCACCCTTAACGAGTTCAGAACCACTTCTAACCATTCTAGGATGGTGCAATGGAATGTCCCCTAGATGTGGAGAATGACAATAACGGGATCAGAATGCGTTTAGTATGTATTTTTGGGGTGAAAAAAAAATGGATTTGTAGGGTTCAACCGAAGTGAAAAAAATGGATTTTTGGCGATTTTTGTAGCCTCAAAATGGCACCCTTAACGAGTTCAGAACCACTTGTAACCATTGTAGGATGGTGCATTGTCTTGTCCCGTGGGTGTGGAGAATGACAATAACGGGATCAGAATGCGTTTAGTATGTATTTTTGGGGTGAAAAAAAATGGATTTGTGGGGTTCAACCGAAGTGAAAAAAATGGATTTTTGGCGATTTTTGTAGCCTCAAAATGGCACCCTTAACGAGTTCAGAACCACTTCTAACCATTCTAGGATGGTGCAATGGAATGTCCCCTAGATGTGGAGAATGACAATAACGGGATCAGAATGCGTTTAGTATGTATTTTTGGGGTGAAAAAAAAAATGGATTTGTGGGGTTCAACCGAAGTGAAAAAAATGGATTTTTGGCGATTTTTGTAGCCTCAAAATGGCACCCTTAACGAGTTCAGAACCACTTCTAACCATTCTAGGATGGTGCAATGGAATGTCCCCTAGATGTGGAGAATGACAATAACGGGATCAGAATGCGTTTAGTATGTATTTTTGGGGTGAAAAAAAAATGGATTTGTAGGGTTCAACCGAAGTGAAAAAAATGGATTTTTGGCGATTTTTGTAGCCTCAAAATGGCACCCTTAACGAGTTCAGAACCACTTGTAACCATTGTAGGATGGTGCATTGTCTTGTCCCGTGGGTGTGGAGAATGACAATAACGGGATCAGAATGCGTTTAGTATGTATTTTTGG